TACTGGGAGCTAATGGTGTGGAGGTAGGTATATTGGTATAAGAGATTGGTTTTCGTAATGAACTGTGTTTGTTTGGTTGGGGAATTACTGTCTATAAACACCTTGTGGACCAAATGTTCAATGTTTTGTATGTTGATGATGGATTTTTAAGTGTAGTCTTTTGTAACATGTTTATTAGCTATCGTACTTTGTGTTTACGAATTTAGATATCATAATTGGTGAATTGTATGATATATCAGTATCTCTTCTTAATGGCTTGCCTCGCTTTTCTAAGGCAGTCATGTCCCCTCACGCTATGATAACTAGGAGGCTTATCACATCGCCTTGCGGCGTGCCTTTTAACCATTGTTATTAGTTTATGTTCATGGAAATAAGGTGGGTTCATACTAATTTGGAAAGTGTCTTTTAAAAAAAATTATGTTAGTTTCAGTTTGTACGGATTATTTGCAGTTTGGTATCGTGTGCCGGCTATGCATTGCCTAGTTTCTATAAGAAAGATCAACTCCAACCAGTGCTAGGGATATGTATTTCTGTGTTGGAGTGAATAAAATCCTCCTCCAACTCTGCGCTAGATAGCTGCGTTATTGTAGAGGAATGAACAGTGTTGTGCCACATCACTATTCATTCTTCTACATTCTTTTGTTTTGTTTAATGTATTTTAATATAATATTATTGATAAATTTTTGTATTATATGTGTATTTGTAAATGTATTTATTATGTTAAATAATTTTGTGTTTTTTATTTTTTGATATATTATAATTTTATTTTTCATTTTTTTTAATATCAAATTCACAGTCCATATAAATAAAATTTTACCACAATAAAACAAGTAAATTTTAGTAAAATAAAAAATTTACCACACATAAATCACAAAATACACCAATAAAAACAACATCATTAAAATTCGGATGACTTAACAACATACAGAACACATGAAGTAGTCTCGTGTTGTTATACATATACATATATTTGTTATTTGAATAACAAAAATTTATATAAAATTAAATATACATATATATTACAGTTTATTTGAAATAAAAATAAATAAAAAAAATAATACATTTAACATAAATAAAAAATATAGCGTGAAAGACGAGAGATGAAACTTGAATTTTAAGAGATGAAACTTGAATTTTGGCTTATGTGTAATAAGGCCAACTTGTTTACCATGCTAATCAGTGGTTTCGTGTGCATCAATATTTCTTGTGTAGTTCAGCAAAATTGCACCATATTAATTAGATATCCTATTCTCTGGGAGAAGGTAGAAGTAGTTGAGTAGTCCCAATAATTCTGCATCTGTAATTGTTTTACAGAGCACGCAATTTGTAGTAACTCAATCAGGTGGTTTATGGTGACCGTTTTCAGCTAAATATTTAAATATTTATGTAGTAGCATAATTTAAATATTTATTATATGGGTTGTTTCTCCGTTAGAATTATTTACATGCTTAAAAATTCAACCAGCCTCAATTTTTACTTTTTTTTATTGTATTAAATATTCCTATATTCAGTGGCGGATCCAGAAATTTTCACGAGCCAGGACACAAAATAGTTGAAGAAAATTTTTAACCATATTGCACAAAGTACTTATATTAATAATTAAATAAATTGTTGAAACAATTGGGTCTTGATGGGTTTTCTATTCACTATGTCTTTGAATTGATGCTAAAAACTGAAATGGAGAATGAAGTCTGGTTATTTGATTTCATGTTTTTATTATTATTAATAAATATACAAAAAATATTATACAATCCCGTTTTCATAATTTTTTGTATAAGTTATATGTAGATAAGTCATTTTGAAATAAAATTTATTAATTCTAAGAAAAAAAACCTAACTGTCATCATTTTAGGTTATGTCATTTTATGAAGAGTACCTTATGGATTATCTTCTTACATATAAATGTAGAGTTTTTTTATCCATGTTTATTAGAACTTTCAAATTTAAACCCTTGGCTAACTTAAATTGTAAATATTTTTAAAAGTTAATAACATTTATATTTGTTATCAATTTTTACTTATTATAAATTAAACTAATCATATTTTGACGATCTATAGTTGGCATTAATATCTTATATATAAATAAAAAAATTTATATCTATCAAATCTCTATAAAAAAAAAATTAAATATTTATTAACTATGACTGAAAACAATAAATTTATCTATCAAGCCTATTATACATTATAAATAATACAAATATTGCAACATAATGCAGTCAAATTTGACAGGCGAGATGTATCATTTTAAATAAAAAAATAATGTTATTTTGTAAGAATTATTTAAAATTTTAAAATCAGAACTTGTATTTATATTTTGACAAAATTTAAATATAAATTTATGTAATGATATGAACTAACACCAAAAATCTAATTGCCTAGGCTGGCCCATATATGGATCCGCCACAGCCTATATTATTTTNAAAAAAAAAATTATAAATTTTTTTGTTACATCGTTTTTACCTGTTTATACAAAATTATTCATATCTTAGTGATCTTCATT